GCTCTGAATATTTGTAAGGATAGGGGCTCTTCCATCTCCACACGGTCTATTATGAGCGATTTCGTCGATGACGTCCCTATTTGATTGCCATATTCTGCTTGTGCGAGCATCCAGTTCGAACGCTCTTGCTTGGAGGTGCGTTGGAAGGCCATTAAACGAGAGTAAGAGGCATAAATAAATGCCTAAAATAAACAACATGTAAAGGAGTGATATGGTACGAGTTCAACCTGAGGCGCTTGGGTCCTAGGTGAGTCGAGGAGGTGTGTGGGAGAGCCGCTGCTCCGTGCCCGGGAGCGGTCGAGAAGGCGCGTCCAGCTTGTCGGTGCATTCAAAGAAAACCCTATGTTACTCCTTCATGACAGTTTCCGCGCTTGGGGGCCATTTGATAGCGTATAGCAATCCGTCAAACCCGCTTAGGAGTGAGTTGAAGATGGCCATCGATCTCCGTATGAGTCGGACCGCTGAAACATGAACCGTATCCGTATATTGTCGTTGATTTAAGGGCTGTGGGTGTTTGAGCAACCGGCTTATAGGCCGTGGTAGAGTCCATCAAGCGCCTCAAATTATGAGCCAACAATCACGACTGACCACAGAAACTTCTAGGCTGGAACGAATAACTGATACTATATCGAGGAGTACATGTACTGTAGGAACCAGGTAAAACTCGGGTCGCTAATGGCGAACCTGAACCGACAGGGTCTCAAACCATCTTTACGACCTTGCTACCATCGACAAACCCATTCAATGACTTGGCCTCTACCAGTCCATTTGTACCCTTTCGTCTCATAAGCTCATCCCACCATCCGAATAAAAAGTCTCGCGCAATCAACTTGAACCAAGGAGTGAAGCTATTTTGAGGGTCGTCAAACATGGCAATAAGTTCCTGCTTGTCCACATATTTGTAGTCACGGATCTCGTTCAAGTTCGGTTCCACGGTAACATTCGCGGTGATAAACAAGATGTAGTCGACTAGCAACTGGTCAGTAAGGTAGCGGCGGGGGGAAG